ATAAAAGGAAGAAGAGAATAGAGCCAATAATCTGAATATTTGAGGAAAAACTTTTTCCTGATATATTCAAACATCTGAGACAAAATACTGTTTTACACTCAAAAGTCACTAATTTAATTTTGGTGATATTTTCCTGAAAGATTGGGTTGACATCCTTTTTACACAACAGAAACAGCCTTTGCCAGGAAAATTAATGGTGAAATCATGATTGTAAGACCAGTATTGAAATTATTCAAGAAAAACTATTAAAAGATTCTTATGGCATTTTAAGAAGCACTTTCAAGCAACAATTTTATGTAATACTTGCTATACACTAGAATACAGGAATTGGTTTTTAAACTAATCATATTCTTGGTTACAGCTGGGATATGAAGTACTAAATTTCATGATCAATGAACAGGGAGCTGAAGAAACACACGGATCAAATACCAAGCACTGACAAATGAAGGTTGTCAAAATTAAACCATTTAACAGTAGAATAAAGCAGGTTCAGTGGTGCATGACTGTAATTCTAGCTACCCAGAAGACTGAGGCAGGAGGATTACAAGTTCAAGGATAGCTTGGGCAATTTAGCAAGACCTTGTCTCAAAATAAAAATTAAAAAATAATAGTAGAAGAATGGGATGTTGACCATAATGATTCTAGGACATGTGCTCCAATGAGGGTGATTTAAATAGTAAAAAAATATGAAAAGACCTTGGGAGAAAGACCTCTTTATAACCTTACTGGGAAAATAAAAAATAAGGTTATCCTATAGCTCCATCAGAAAAGTTATGTCATCAGAAAGCAACATTTGATTCATTCTCAATAATTGTTATAAGAATTAACAGTCATAATTATAACCTATATTTATAAAATACAAGTTTCCTTTCATAATTTCAGTTTCAAGTTCCAATCAAATGTCTTTAAAACATGAAATTTTGAAGCCCATTTTAAGGGAACTGACTTCAAGAGTTCTTTTCAGGTACCGACTGCCTTCAGATAAAGAGCCCAGTAGACAACATATCAGCTGGCTTTTTTCTCTCCCACCCTCACCCTTTTTGGCTTGGCCTCTAAATCTGAAGTCTAAGGCCAGGCATGGTAGCACACGCCTGTAATCCCAGCACTAGGCAGGCTGAGGTAGGAGGACTGATGCAAGTTCGAGGCCAGCCTGGGCTGCATAGTGAGTTCAAGGTTACCCTGAACTACAGACAAGACCCTGCCTTGCAAGACCCTATCTCAAAAAAACAAAAATAAAATACAATAAATCTAGAGTCTAAAAACCCAAAGGACAAGACTATGATGTTATATGATTCTGATTTTGTTTTCCCTCCCTGGCTCATTCTACCGATACTTACATGTAGTCCTTGACAGTGGCAACCCTCACCCTTTTCCCACCCAAACTCATGTGATGAGTGATGGTCATATTCGAGATATTCTCCCATGGCCAACCCAAGTTGATGGGCAATTCCTGCCACTGGGCATCATTCCTTCCCTTACCCTCTGACTTGGGACAGCAAATCAGAATGTAAAAGAAGACAATTATCATAGTATCAGAATCTTCTATGATGTTCCTTTAACTTTGTAGCTTCAAGATCATCTGTAAAACTCCTTTTTCGTAACTACTTTTGAAGCTAATTGCTGCCCTCTAGGAGGTACCTGTGATGCAGTCCCAACCATTCCATGTCCCCGAAAGTTACAAATTAAAATTAATTAAAAACCTCTCTATTGTTCCACTTTGAGTGGCCCTGACAGGAAGCCACAGGTCCATGTGCCTGGAGGCGAGGCACATTTGGAAAGCTCATTTTGCACATCCTCAACAACCAAGAGACAAACAGCCACATCCACCAGTACCTCTTCTCAAGAAGAGGTCTAATCCAGACCAGCAACTTCTATTCTGACACTAGTCACATGTTACCATGGCCACATAAGCCATGGCTGTGCAGCTGGAAAAACCCTAACCCTGATTTCTCACTGAGCTGACAAGGGACAGGAAGGGGCACTCACCTCTCCAGGAATGTGCACTTCTGCATTACTTTTGCTCCTGCAAATTGCTGGAGACCTAGTGGTCATCTCAGCATTTTCTGCTCGCCCAGAGTTCCCAATTTGTTTTCATTCTTCTCCAAACCAACACCTCAACTCAAATGGGGCAGAATAGCGAAAGATGCAGAAAGGAAACTTGATATCTTCTACATGGGCTTCCTCATCTTGGGTTGAATTGATACAGAAGTTAAATGATACAGAAGTTAAAATTTTTAACAATGAGGAGGAAAAACCCTTAATTATTTTTATTACCTCAAGAACTCCAAAGACATCTTGTGCTATGTCATCATTTACATTTCACATTAAATTCAAAAAATGTTTGAGGTGAGCAAATATTTGCTTTAGTTTGATCCATCTGTTAAATGAAATACTAAAAAGACAGTTAAATACTATATCAAATTCAGCAATTTGTAAACAATTTATATGTTCATTTGTTCTGGGTTAAAAATGCCCCAAAGCACAAGTTTTATGAAACGCACAAATTAAATTTCATTATTATAGTCTGATGGATGCAAAACATGATTTCTTCCTCTTTGGTCCATTAATTTATTTCCTAACTTGAATTAATTAGGGAGGTTCCCATTTTTCAAAGCTCTGTGAAACTCATTAGGGGAGGGGGACATTTGCAAGAATGGCTTTGAAAACCTACTGCAGAGGAAATGGGCTAAATACAAATGGTATACTATCCCAAGACTGTCACACATTGAGCACCTGATTGCCATTCAGCAATCTTAAGGCCTGGAGCACAGTAGGTGATTAATACAGTTGTTGTTATGAGAGAGGGAAAAAGCTAGGAGCAAAGGATGACAGCAGCCGTGAGAACAAACTCATTCCAGGCAATTAAAGTACTAACCCAATGAGATGATCTCCAAGGTCCTATCCATCTCTAAGGAAAACCTATTGCATTCTGATTTTATACTGCCAAATGACAGCGGACTTTAACTTGGAACACCCACTGGGAAAAGAACAGATATCTATGCAGAGAAATGTTTTAAAATGCAGACGTTGGCCAGAGAACAAAGGTAAATCAATCATTTTTCCTTTGACCGAAGGCAACCTTAATTCCTCAATTAGGTTGAGAGGTAATTTCTTTGTTCAGTGGTGGCGGGGTGGGCTATACTGGTGAATAAACCCAGGTCTTCGTACATGCTAGGCAAGCAGTCTACCACTGAGCTACATGCACCTAACACAGCCCACCACTTCCTAATTCTTTTCTACCCTCTAATGCTTATCGCCCTACACTCAAAAAAGAGAGAGAGAAATTCCTCATTCACATTACAGTATATATTACACCTAACAGTTCAAGACAAGCCTAAGTAGGTAGGGGATATGTTAGATGAGCTAGCCTTTCCACAAACATTCAAGCTTTAAGCAAGTGCAATATCCATTCCTTCCCAGTATATTTTGGGTAGCAGCCAGTGGGAAACAAAGACTGAGATGGGCAGAGTGTCCTTCCCATGCCTCCAGATGATGCTGCCTGCCAATACTCCCTACCCCAGCTTCAAGTGAAGCTGGCCCGAGGGAGCAGCAACACCAGCAGGCTAATCTAGGTAGCACCTTGTTTGCGGAAGCCCTGTCTTATTTCATTTTCTCTTCACTACAGGCTTATGAAAGTCCTGGCCAGACACTCTGAAAAGCAGAGTGAGAATCTTGAATTGCACTTAATGAGATTTTTGATCTGTCTTCTCTAAGCCTCCAGTTCCTCCTCTATAAAATGAAAACATAAACTACCCAGCATAGCCCCTGCTGCAGCATAGGTAACCAAACTTTGCATGCTCCTGCTCTCATTTTGCTCACTAAAATCAAGTCAGCTGCTTGCAAACACTGCAGAGGGCAGGAGCAGCACTGATACAGACTCACAGACGCATGTGCCTTCCAATTTTCTCCTCTAACTCCCACCTCTGGAACTAGTTACTCAGGTTTCCCACACCAAAGCAAACAGTACAATGAATGATTCTTTTTCCTGGCACACCACACTAGAAAGGGGAGAGGGGAGAAGGAAGAAATGTATGTAATATCAACTTCTCCTTGATTCACACTCACATACCCTTGATATTGCTTTTTTCTTGTTTTAGCTAAAAAAATAATTCTTTAAAACCCTTTGCTCGTACACACTTTATGTGTCTAGAGTAAAGCCCTGATTACCAGAAGACAGTGACAAAGCCCCTCTTTTGAAGGTTTTGAGGCCTTACAGATCCTGGGACTCCCTTGAAATATTTCCTGTAAATCCAGAAATGTCCTCAACTTTAAACCATTGTATCAAAACAAAGTTTGGAAAGCAAACAACTCTGCATGGGAATTGGTTTCTTTAGACAATCAGTCCAGTCCCACAAATCTGCCAAGTTGCATTTTCTGGACCAAACAGTCTATACTGCCATGCTTCTCTGCTTTGGTAAGAAATAGACCTATTGCTGCAGAAACCCAAGCCCTACCCTGGGAAGAGAGTGTCTCAGAGCTCCAGTTTCCTAAGTCAGGTAGGAGGATCACTCCAGGGGCAATAAGATATCAGCCTATCTTCTCCAAAAGAGAAAAATGGGAACACGAGCTCATTGCCTGAAACAGGCTCTTCAGGACAAAAACAGAGTGAGACCAGGTGCTCCATTTATCTCTGCAGAACTAGTTCACAAAGGACTTTCACCTGGCCTGCATGAACTATTTTGTCCCTCATATTTCCCACTATTATCATCCCCATTTTACCCAAGATAATTTTGTGTGACTTGCCCTGAGGTCACAGAGATGTTGTTTCCAGACTTCATGACTCTTGGTCTGGTGTTCTTTTCACTATAACCCACCACAAACCCCAAAAATATAAAGAATAAATCTTCACACACCCAGATCAAGGTCAATACCCTCAATCTGCCAAAACCTTCCACATCAATGAATTTAGGTTTACACTTCTAGGGTAAGACTTCAGGTGAAGAGCACCACAGGAAATGACTCGAGTGGGTGGTGGGAAGGTCACCTGCCCAGGGACTCACTCAGGAAGATGATGGTCTGCCTCCTGGCAGTCCGGTTCTCCTCGCTCTCAGACTTTCTCAGCTGCACCTGCTGCCCGGTCCCGGCCATTGTGCCCTGCTTGCTCCTCATGATCACCTGCATCATGTTCCAGCACATGAAGGCCACAGAGAGCAGGACCAAGAGGTAGAGGACAAATGCACCAAAGATGCTGGACTGGAACAACGTCCAGTGGTTGGAAAGATTGGTACAGATGGACATGTTGGAAGCCTCAGGGTGCTCCTGGTGGTGGCTACGCGAGCGGTTGCAAGTAAACTCCGGGTGAGTAGGCTCATGCACCAGGGGGTACTCAATACCCATGGCAAAAGGCAACGGCAATGCCACCAGGGCAGAGGTGACCCAGACGAAGGCAATCAGCAGTTTCACCTGGCAGGGTCCTGACATGGCCTTATACCTGAAGGGGTGGCAGATAGCAATATAGCGCTCAAAGCTAAGCGTCAACACGTGGAGCAGCGTGGCGTAGCTGCAGGCCTCGAAGAGGAAAGTGTGAAGCTTACAGGACAGGGCGTAGCTGGGGGTGGTCAGAGGGTTCCAGATAATGCTGTAGAACTCCATCGGCATCCCAATGAGGAAAACCAAAATGTCGGAGCATGCCAGGCTCACCATGTGATCGGTCACCTCCTTCTGCAGGTAGCCTTTCTTCTGCAGCAGCTGGGTAACCCGGATGGTGATGCTGTTCCCCAGGATGCCCATCACAAAGATGATCAGGTACACCAGGAAGAGGGTGATTTTGATCCAGGTGGCCACCTCAAATTCAGGGACATGGTCATGATCGATGATTTGGGAGCAGTCACTGCTGGATTCACGGTGTGAAGCCATGAGAGAAGCCCCGCCACCAGGTCCAAAGACGTCTCAACTTTCCTTTCTTGGCGGCAACTCCGAACGGGACTGGACGCAGACTTTCTCTCACTTGAGTTCTCTGGGCAAAAGTAATTTAGCACTGCAGGTGCTTTTATGGAAGCTTCCTGGAGCAATCCGCCTTAGGAGGGGCCGGAGGGGCCTGGGGGTGGGGTTTTGGGCTGAGCGTGTAGGAGTGAGCCTGGGACGGGGCGGCGGAAGGCGGGTCTGCCCTCCCCACCCCTCAGAGGGTACACGGCGGTCCCCGCGTCCCTGTCCTTGCCTTCTGTGCGCACGGAGCGACCAGACCCGCTGCTTTGCCCCCTCCCTGCTCCAACCCTCAGGCACTCGCGGCCCTGGCCGGCCCTCCAGACCTTCTCGGGAGCTTCGGAAAGCCTGGTAGTCGTGGTCAATCATTAACCAAAGCAAACTGTACTCTGAGGCCGGGCTGCAGAACCAGCCCAGTGGCGGAGTTTGACTCAACACTTAGGCACGGTGCGGAAAAACGGCTGGCCCCACCTCCCTCGCCGCCCTGCAATTCCTGCCGAGCCAGCCGCGGGCGTCTCTGCCTCTACAGCCTCCCAAGGGGTGCGCCCTGGGAGCTAGAGTGCGCTCCTGGTGCTCGCGGGCTTGGAGAAAGATACCTTCCTACCACCACGCCGTGCACTCCCACAATTGTCCAGGGCCCCTTCAAAGGCCAGGCCATGGCCACTTTGGATGGCTCGCCCTGGGCTCCAGCCTTCGCCTCCGCTGCCCTCCCAGCCGCCCCGGGGGAGCTGGGGAGCGCTCTCCCCGGGTGCTCTGCCTTTAGGGAGCACAGGGTGTTTGCAGCGAAGGAGCTGGAATCGGCCCCTACCAGGCTAATGGGATCCCAGTAAAAGCCCCGACTTTGTGCTGCGTGGGCCCCTGCCTCGCCTTCCCGCTGGGGACGGAAGAGCTTGGGGTCCCTCCTTTCAGTTTCAGTTCGCTGCTCTTGAAGCGGCGGGGAGTCTTTAATTGGGACCCTGCATATGGATGAGGACGGCGCCGCGCTGTGCGCCCCGGAGCGGGGAAGGCGGAGCAGTCCACGGGCTGTCCCAACGGGGGATCGAACCTTAATGGGCCCGTTTTCATCTTACTCCAAGATCAGAAGGAAAAGTGATAGTTAGAGGGGGCGTGTCCTGTGTACTGTCTAGCACACAGTCGTGACAGGGGGGTCTCCAGACATCGCTAAATGGGGAGTAGGGAGCGGGGTGGGCGGGTAAGTCAAGAATCACTGCCTTGAAGGAAGAAAATAGAAAATGGATTCCCTCCCCAGCACAGGCTGATGTGAGCCTTGGGGTATCCAGATTTCTTCCCAAAGCCACAAAAGAATGACAGCAAGATCACTTGTACGGGCAACCTTAAAAAAAAGAAAAAAAGAAAAAAAAAAGGCAAATACATAGTAACAAAATCGGAATAAGGGTGGTTACCTGGGTCAGGGAGGGAGAGGAAGCGGAGCGACCTACAGACCAAAGGGCAGGAAGTTGCAATTGTGTGATGAATAAATCTAGAGATCTAACGTACAGCAAGAGGACTACAGGTTATAATATTGTTCTGTATGGTGAACATCTGCTAAGAGAATAGATTTGAGGTGCAACACTCACATGTAACTCTGGAAGGTGACTGATTTAATTTGCCTGATTATAGAAATCATTTCACTATATATGTCAAAACAGCATGGTGTACATCTTAAAAATATACAGAGAGAGAGAGAGAGAGAGAGAGAGAGAGAAAGATTTGGAAATTAAAAGCAATTTGACCCCCAGCCCACATTTGTAACCCCTACCAGGAGGGGCTCAGAGTACAACAGGTGCCAGGAAATGTGTCCTAAGTGATGTGCATAGAAATATGTGGACTATGTTTTCTGAGCCAAACCCTGAACCCATGGTCTTACTACTTCAGGAATTCTTGATCTTTTATCTGTTTTTTTCTTTTCTCTTCCTGCTTCTGAAGATTGAACTTAAAGGCATTCACCCTGTGCAACATCCCCAGCCCTTTTCCCTTTTAAAATTCTTTGATACAGCCTTGCTAAATCGCTCAGTTGCCCAGGTTGAGCTTGAACTCTCAATCAGCCCGCCTCAGCCTCTCAGAGTGCTGGAATTACAGGTGTGCACCCCACTGGACATGAATCATGTAATATTTAATTATCTGGGGGGTGCTGTATGGCCATCAGATCTTTATAATAGCTTCATATCTGACTATAGTGTGTCCTCTCTCTCTCTCTTTGTTAAATAACAACCTCCAAAGTGAAGTAATGTATCTTTTCCCCGGCTTTTAGAAATGTATCCTCTGCCACTCCATAGCACCCTAAATAACTTATTTTGCTAGAGGCCTCCCCACTCCCTCATGTGGTATTTGTTTGACTTTCTTGCTGGCAGAGAAACTCCTAACTTACTTCCTATTGGTGCACTGTTCTCAGCTAAGTGCCCTTCTTCCTCCACAAAGTTTATAGGGCAAGAAGATGGGAAGTGAGTCTGGTCCTTATATTTTCCTAACTCCAGTTAGAGTCCTGAGCGGGATCCTCTATAGAAGCCCTAGTTGTTTACTGTCCGAAAACATTAAGGAGAAGGTCTAAACTGGGTGTATGAGCACACACCTGTGGAGGCTGAGAGAAGAGGATCACTGAAAGTTCAAGGCCAGCCTGGACTACATAATGAGTTCAAAGCCAGCCTGAATGACATAGTGAGATTCATCTCAAAATAAGAAGGGGGGTGGTCTAGGTCAGGTCCGTGGACTTTCTCATATCCGATACACACACATGGAGACTTCTGGGAAGAGGGTGGACAGTAAGCAGCAACAAATCAGCCTCTCAAAGATGCAGAATCCAGACACTGGAAAATAACAATTTGGGGAAGGAAAGGAGGAAAGTGGAACCCCAGTACTCAGGAAGTATCTGAAGGGAGAATTGGAGCCCACAGAGACAGTGAAGAGATAGACCTCAACATAGAAAAAGGAAGAGGCAATCTACACTTTCTCTCTGGGTTCTGGCATGAGAAAGGATGATAAAATCTATAGAGACACAGTGAAAGCAAGCAACTCACAGGTCTCCAGGGAGAAATGAGGCAGTGGAATGGAGGATTAAATGCTGTGCACTACAACAGCTGATGAGTGACTCCAGTCCAAGTGACTGCTGTATACCTTGGAGACAGGGCTTGGTCAGAGCCATTTTAGGGAGGGGTCAATGGAACCTGAGACTCAGAGCAGCCAAGGGTTGGCTTCATCTCAGGGCTCCCAGTATTAAAATCCCATGGTGACTGGATGAGGGACAACCATGGGAGACATCTAACCACAGGAGCTGTGGTCAGGGCAGAAAGAGACATCAGAGTTTTACAAGCTAAATGACTCAGGTCCCAGCTCCATGACTAGAGGCCAGGATCACCTTGAACTTCTGTGGAAATAAAAGTACCAGATCCAGCACCCTGCCCTTATTTTACTGCAGGTTTACTGGGATTATGCAGCATGGATTTGGGCTCTGACTGCCTCCTTTGTCTGCAGTGAGAGCAGAGTCACACCCTAAATTGGACACCGCCATAAAACTGTAGACCCCAGATGATAACCACAGCCTTGAAATCACAGAATATTTTTTTCTTCACTTTTGAGGGGTTTTTCCTTAGTTTGCTTTTTGCTTTTTTTGTTAGTTTGAACATTGTTTTCAATTTTTTGTTGTTACTTTCTTTCGTTCTTGTTTATGTTTTTTCCCTCTTTCTTTCCCTCCTGTCTCTCAGCCTTGCTTCTAATCTCTTTTTCTTATTTCTCTATTTTTTTCCTCTTATCCCCTTTAAATTTTCTCCCCTGTGGGTAAAATCTCTCTATCGAGTGGATATATATTGTATATAATTTTCTGATTTGTCTTAGATTTTGTTATATAAGTCTTATACTTAAAGGGAGCAAATTAATACTTACCACAGTTTGTCATTTCCCAGTCTGTGCTATTATTATTACTGATTTACTACTTTAGCCAAGGTTCCATAGTTGTTGTGATCAATTGATCTTCCTTGTATGCCAATACATAGATTATCTGGGGGTCATAACCAATGCTATAGTCCAGCACCCAAGAACTTGATGCTAGGCCAAACAGGCAGTAACTTTTCATCCCTAATAAACAGAAGAGTCAGGATCCTGGGACAGACTCAAAAGCCAGCTATAACAAGAAGACATCTCTGAAAAGCAGTCATTTCCTAAAAAGGTCTCAATACCAGTAATAAAGCTATCTAACATAAGCAGCTTACAACACTCAATGCAGAAAACAAATTTTAAAAAAAAAGAAAATGAGAAACATAGAAGCAAGATGCAACCCATAGCCCCAGCTCTTGTAAGGCAAATCAAGGGAGCACTGAAGTGGAAGAAATCAAAAGCCACCCAGAAGAATTGTATGAAATGGTAGCAGCAGAAGTAACAAAATAGATGAATGAGTTTCTTTCTTTTTCTTTTTTTTTCTTTTGCTTAAATTCTTATATTGGTACATTTTAGGTATACAATATGTTTACATTTATTATTAGGTACTTGTACCTGTACATGATGTACCTTGGTTCTTATTTTTTCCCCATTCCATGTCCTCCCTTCACCCCCTCCACCCTTCACTATTTACAAAGGCTTTGTTTCCATTTTTTCCTTTTTTCATAATTTTTCCTTTCCCTTCTTGCATTTCTCCTTCCCCTCCCACTTCCCCTACCCCTTTGGACCATTTCTTCCTATTTCAAATTATCAATTATTCGCTTTAATCATTTTAATCCTTATTTACACTTTCAGTTTCTCACACCAGAGAAATTATTCAGCGTTTAAACATCTGTGTCTTATTTATATCACTTAAGAGTATGGCCTCAATGTGCATCCATTTAGCTATAAATGTTTCTAGTTTCTCATTCTTTATGGCTGAGTAGTACTCCATTTTATAAAAAAAAACCACCACATTTTCTTTATCCAGTTTCCAGTTCATGGGAATTTGGGTTGTTTCCAAGCTT